AACATATTTTTTCAAACTTACTCTGTTTTACTCTAGTTTTTTGATAGCCCCGCCTTCTAATGCCACGTGACTAAAATCTCGCCAGCCTACGTCATACCGTTGGGAAATTCCTTCGGTAACGCGAGATCTCGTCAAATCATGTGACATTGCTCATGGCCTAATTTCCATTAAAAACTTGGGTTGGTAAAGAAAACGTTGGAAAATACTTTTCGTAATGATCTTTGAAACATGTTATTGATACCACCTAGTGCATAATGAATAGATCTTTCGATCCATGTGCGACATGTGTGTGAAAGTGACGATTTGTTTCTAAAATATCAGTTTGAAGTGCGCTCCGGGCGCGGGTCGCATATTTCTCGCATATTATATAGAGGGCCGTAGTTCTGACGTTAATCAACGACAGACCGATATGAAAAAAGTCGATAAAACGTCAGAATAATTCGGACTAATTTGACCCCTGTGACCTGAAAAGTATGTCAAGGTCATTTTCATTCTCAAAGTTTGTTATGCTCTATCCCAGGAAGCTACCAGCCACATATGAAGATTCTATACCTTTCAGTTCTTCAGAAGAAGTCGTTTGAAGCGTTTCACATATTTGACCCCTATGACCTTGAAAGTAGCTCAAGGTCATTTTCATTCTCAAACTTTGGCCGGCTCTATCCCAGGAAGCTACCAGCCACATATGAAGATTCTATACCTTTCAGTTCTTCAGAAGAAGTCGTTTGAAGCGTTTCACATATTTGACCCCTGTGACCTTGAAAGTAGGTCAAGGTAATTTTCATTCTTAAACTTTGTCAGGCTCCTTTCAACAAAGCTTTCAGCCGAATATCATGACTCTAGGCCTGTTAGTTCTTCTGAGAAGTTGTTTAAAGGAAAAGTTGACGGATGACACCGGACGCTGGACGACGGACAGGTGAGCTAAAAAGACATCCTCGATATCCAGGGGTTATGCTCACCATGCTCTCTACACTCCTGGAATATGTCATAGCCTGAGTGTGTGCCACCTTGTTGATGAGACAAGAAGACTAGTTCGATCCTTTGATGTACGTCAAAAGAATCTCGAGGTCACTAACGGTAAAAATTGACAGGCTTTGAAGTCGGGCGTGTCTCCTTTGTAATCTTCAAAGGACAGGTATAAGTAGCGATTGGTCAGTTTTTTTTACCTGAACTAATAAAACAGCTGTCTTCGTGCCTTCAATTTTGCTATGACATATTCCAGGGTTGTAGAGAGCGAAAGTGAGCGTAACACCTGGATATCGAGGATGATAACAAGAGATCCCAGATTGGATCTTGGCGCCCACCATAGTACCATCTTCATTTGTTCTGTCAGTTTGATCTTTTCTCTTCTTTTCTCTTATCTGTTCCATCAGTTTGCCTATCTGCTATCTTAATCAATCTTTTGATCAACTTCAAACGTTAACCACTGAGTGAAGGGGAACCTACTTATCAAATATGAGAAGAAAAGTATTCCTCCAGTCAATTCTGTTAAATAGCAATAACAAACTTAAACTGTATCAAGATGGCTGGCCGATATGATTGTATATGCATAACTAAGAACAAGAGGAACTCTTGTGTGAAATTTACAAAAGATCCCTCCAAGACTTTTTGACCAATAGGGCTAAAAGAACTTTTACTCTCAAATTCTATACGAACACCTGCCAGCCATCTTGGTTTTCCAATCATCCCCAAAGTTTTGTAATGCTGAACCAGGATTCATGGGGAGCCTTCATGTGAAATTTGAGAAAGACTCCTCATGGACATTCTGGGGAATAACTTTTACAAACTTTTATTCTCAAATTTTCAGAAGTTTTCCCTTCTGTCCCAGAATATTTAATATGCGTAACTAGGGATGATGGGGAACTTTTGTGTAAAATTTGAGAAAGACCCCTCCAGAACTTTCTGAAAAACAGCGCTAAGCGCTAACTAACTCTCAAATTCAAGATGCCTGCCTGTCGTCCATTTCGGTTTTGTGATCAGTCCCAAAATATTATATGCATTACAAGGGATCTTGGGTAACCATCATGTGACATTTGAGAAAGATCCTTCTGTTATGTTTTGGGAAATAGCACTAACAAACTTCAACTCTCAAATATAAGATGGCCGCCTGTCAGCCATTTTGGTTTTGCAATCAGTCCCGAAAAACGATATGCATAACTAGGGGTCATGGGACCTTCATGTGAAATTTGAGAAGGATCCCTCCAGTTCTTTCTGAGAAATAGCGCTAACAATAGTTGTTTAAGGATGGACCACGTACCATGAATGCAGGGTGATTTGAATAGCCCGCCATCTGATGATGGTGGGCTAAAATTCCTAGACAGTACCATTGGTAGCCCTCCAGTTTTTGGATTTTGTACATATTTTTGTTTGTTTTTAAATACTCAATTTCTGAATAACTGATCCTGTAACTTTGTAAAATGCATCTCATGATATAATTTTTAAATCGATATATTTTTGTAGAAAATGACTTCAACAATTTTTTTATAAAACTTTTTTTATGACAATAACGTTTTAACTAGATAGTACTTTAAACTTAAAGATCCTACCGAGAAACAAAATAAGAAAAACAAAACATGAAAAAATAAAACAAAATTCTGAAGATATCATCCAGGTAACTTCATATCATCTACCTGAGTCTTTATTTAAAAGTTTTGAACTGAATATGATGTAAACCAACATTGCATTCTCATCTGAACCAAGTTATCTCCCCTTGACTGACGAGGAGAACAAGAATTCTAGCACAAGTACATGAACACATAGGTGTATACAACATGTCTGAAGTTCTTAAATACAACATTTATATTGACATATCATTGGGTAAATATCAGAACAATTTAACATGAAATATTTGTTAAAAAAAATCTTAAAAATACAGTTCACGCTAGTATATCTATAATTGTAAACCCATACCATCACATCTGATGTTGACCTTTGACCTTGGAGAAGGACATCTTTTGTAGTTGCCTGATCTTCCTTTTAACAAAATTGATTGTTAACTCCACAGTAGTCCTAAAACGACATGTACAAACTGAAGCAAGTCAAGCAAGTTGACATTTAAGCATGCAGGCCGTTGTTGAACATTTCTGTGTTCAGGCCAGGGAACTAAAGAATTCCTGTAACAGTGAGTTACCGCCCCTCCAAACACTGTCTCGTGATGTTAAGTTCAAATCCTTTGATCCTTTTTCTGAAGAATTCAATCAACACAACAGATATAGAAGTCCTCACCCACTTCCTGTTACATTACAGAAGGTGTCACTCATATATATAGAAGTCATCACTGAAGAATTCAATCAACACAACAGATATAGAAGTCCTCACCCTCTTCCTGTTACCTTACAGAAGGCGTCACTCATAGATATAGAAGTCCTCACCCACTTCCTGTTACATTACATAAGGCGTCACTCATATATATAGAAGTCATCACTGAAGAATTCAATCAACACAACAGATATAGAAGTCCTCACCCTCTTCCTGTTACATTACAGAAGGTGTCACTCGTATCTATAGAAGTCCTCACCCACTTCCTGTTACATTACATAAGGCGTCACTCATATATATAGAAGTAATCAGACACTTCCTGTTACATTACAGAAGGCGTCCCTCATATATATAGAAGTCCTCACTCACTTCCTGTTACGTTACAGAAGGCGTCACTCATATATATAGAAGTCCTCACTCACTTCCTGTAACATTATAGAAGGCTTCACTCATATATATAGAAGTCATCACCCACTTCCTGTTACATTACAGAAGGCGTCACTCATATATATAGAAGTCCTCACCCACTTCCTGTTACATCACAGAAGGTGTCACTCATATATATAGAAGTCCTCACCCACTTCCTGTTACATCACAGAAGGTGTCACTCATATATATAGAAGTCCTCACCCACTTCCTGTTACATTACAGAAGGCGTCACTCATATATATAGAAGTCCTCACTCACGTCCTGTAACATTATAGAAGGCTTCACTCATATATATACAAGTCATCACCCACTTCCTGTTACATTACAGAAGGCGTCACTTATATATATAGAAGTCCTCACTCACTTCCTGTAACATTATAGAAGGCTTCACTCATATATATACAAGTCATCACCCACTTCCTGTTACATTACAGAAGGCTTCACTCATATATATAGAAGTCATCACCCACTTCCTGTTACATTACAGACGGCGTCACTCATATATATAGAAGTCCTCATCCACTTCCTGTTACATTACAGAAGGCGTCACTCATATATATAGAAGTCATCACCCACTTCCTGTAACATTACAGAAGGCGTCACTCATATATACAGAAGTCATCACCCCCTTCCTGTTACATTACAGAAGGCGTCACTCATATGTATAGAAGTCATCAGACACTTCCTGTTACATTACAGAAGGCGTCTCTCATATATATAGAAGTCATCAGACACTTCCTGTTACATTACAGAAGGCGTCACTCATATATATAGAAGTCCTCACTCACTTCCTGTAACATTATAGAAGGCTTCACTCATAAATATAGAAGTCATCACCCACTTCCTGTTACATTACAGAAGGTGTCACTCATATATATAGAAGTCCTCACCCACTTCCTGTTACATCACAGAACGTGTCACTCATATATATAGAAGTCTTCACCTACTTCCTGTAACATTACAGAAGGCGTCACTCATATATACAGAAGTCATCACCCCCTTCCTGTTACATTACAGAAGGCGTCACTCATATATATAGAAGTCCTCACCCACTTCCTGTTACATCACAGAAGGTGTCACTCATATATATAGAAGTCTTCACCCACTTCCTGTTACATTACAGAAGGTGTCACTCATATCTATAGAAGTCCTCACCCACTTCCTGTTACATTACAGAAGGCGTCACTCATATATATAGAAGTCATCACCCCCTTCCTGTTACATTACAGAAGGCGTCACTCATATATATAGAAGTCCTCACTCACGTCCTGTAACATTATAGAAGGCTTCACTCATATATATACAAGTCATCACCCACTTCCTGTTACATTACAGAAGGCTTCACTCATATATATAGAAGTCATCACCCACTTCCTGTAACATTACAGAAGGCGGCACTCATATATACAGAAGTCATCACCCACTTCCTGTAACATCACAGAAGGCGTCACTCATATATACAGAAGTCATCACCCCCTTCCTGTTACATTACAGAAGGCGTCACTCATATATATAGAAGTCCTCATCCACTTCCTGTTACATTACAGAAGGCGTCACTCATATATACAGTAGTCATCATCCACTTCCTGTTACATTACAGAAGGCGTCACTCATATATATAGAAGTCCTCACTCACTTCCTGTAACATTATAGAAGGCTTCACTCATAAATATAGAAGTCATCACCCACTTCCTGTTACATTATAGAAGGCGTCACTCATATATATAGAAGTCATCACCCCCTTCCTGTTACATTACAGAAGGCGTCACTCATATATATAGAAGTCCTCACCCACTTCCTGTTACATCACAGAAGGTGTCACTCATATATATAGAAGTCTTCACCCACTTCCTGTTACATTACAGAAGGCGTCACTCATATATACAGTAGTCATCATCCACTTCCTGTTACATTACAGAAGGCGTCACTCATATGTATAGAAGTCATCAGACACTTCCTGTTACATTACAGAAGGCGTCACTCATATATATAGAAGTCCTCATCCACTTCCTGTTGCATTACAGAAGGCGTCACTCATAATTCATTTTGGCACCATATTGAGATTGATAAGGTGCCTCATGGTGGGTCGGCCGTGGGGACAATTCTGAAATATAGACAAAATATGATACATTTCGATAAATTTTGGTGGTTTATCTTCAGTCAATGTTTCTAGGGCTTATTGCTGGAATTCTGATAGTCAAAAATCATATTTTTTATCAAATGCGTAATTTCAGACTAAATAGTTACAATGAACCAGACCTACCTATACAATACACGTCTATTGTATCACTAAACAATTACCTCAGAACCTGTCTGTACAATGATGAATGAACAAAATACTTTGATATGTTTATTATTGATGTAAAATCAGGAAATCACAGAACTCAGGTTCAAATTCAGACTCCAGTCCCTACTTAAGTTTCCACGACCAGTCCCTACCTAAGTTTCCATGACCAGTCCCTACTTAAGTTTCCACGACCAGTCCCTACCTAAGTTTCCATGACCAGTCCCTACTTAAGTTTCCACGACCAGTCCCTACCTAAGTTTCCACGACAAGTCCCTACTTAAGTTTCAACGCCCAGTCCCTACTTAAGTTTCCACGTCCAGTCCCTTCTTAAGTTTGAAAGTAAATTAAGTCCCTACTTAAGTTTCCACGCCCAGCCCCTACTGAAGTTTCCACGCCCAGTCCCTACCTAAGTTTCCACGACAAGTCCCTACTTAAGCTTCCACGCCCAGTCCCTACTTAAGTTTCCACCCCCAGTCCCTACCTAAGTTTCCACGCCCAGTCCCTACCCCTACTTAAGTTTCCACGACCAGTCCCTACCTAAGTTTCCACGCCCAGTCCCTACCTAAGATTACACGCCCAGTCCCTACTTAAGTTTCCACGACCAGTCCCTACCTAAGTTTCCACGCCCAGTCCCTACTTAAGTTTCCACCCCCAGTCCCTACCTAAGTTTCCACGCCCAGTCCCTACCCCTACTTAAGTTTCCACGACCAGTCCCTACTTAAGTTTCCACGTCCAGTCCCTACCTAAGTTTCCACGACCAGTCCCTACCTAAGTTTCCACGCCCAGTCCCTACCCCTACTTAAGTTTCCACGACCAGTCCCTACCTAAGTTTCCACGACCAGTCCCTACTTAAGTTTCCACACCCAGTCCCTACCTAAGTTTCCACGACCAGTCCCTACTTAAGTTTCCACACCCAGTCCCTACCTAAGTTTCCACGACCAGTCCCTACTTTAGTTTCCACGCCCAGCCCCTACTGAAGTTTCCACGCCCAGTCCCTGCCTAAGTTTCCACGCCCAGTCCCTACTTAAGTTTCCACCCCCAGTCCCTACCTAAGTTTCCACGACCAGTCCCTACCTAAGTTTCCACGACAAGTCCCTACTTAAGCTTCCACGCCCAGTCCCTACTTAAGTTTCCACGTCCAGTCCCTACCTAAGTTTCCACGACCAGTCCCTACCTAAGTTTCCACGACCAGTCCCTACCTAAGTTTCCACGCCCAGTCCCTACCCCTACTTAAGTTTCCACGACCAGTCCCTACCTAAGTTTCCACGACCAGTCCCTACTTAAGTTTCCACGTCCAGTCCCTTCTTAAGTTTGAAAGTAAATTAAGTCCCTACTTAAGTTTCCACGCCCAGCCCCTACTGAAGTTTCCAGAACCAGTCCCTACTTAAGTTTCCACGACCAGTCCCTACCTAAGTTTCCACGCCCAGTCCCTACCTAAGATTACACGCCCAGTCCCTACTTAAGTTTCCACGACAAGTCCCTACTTAAGTTTCCACGCCCAGTCCCTACTTAAGTTTCCACACCCAGTCCCTACCTAAGTTTCCACGACCAGTCCCTACCTAAGTTTCCACGACAAGTCCCTACTTAAGTTTCAACGCCCAGTCCCTACTTAAGTTTCCACGTCCAGTCCCTACCTAAGTTTCCACGACCAGTCCCTACTTAAGTTTCCACGTCCAGTCCCTACCTAAGTTTCCACGACCAGTCCCTACTTTAGTTTCCACGCCCAGCCCCTACTGAAGTTTCCACGCCCAGTCCCTGCCTAAGTTTCCACGCCCAGTCCCTACTTAAGTTTCCACCCCCAGTCCCTACCTAAGTTTCCACGCCCAGTCCCTACTTAAGTTTCCACGACCAGTCCCTACTTAAGTTTCCACGTCCAGTCCCTTCTTAAGTTTGAAAGTAAATTACAAATTCAAGATTGCCCATTGATATTAGTCAATATAACTATCAAAGCTGCCAACATTCGAGATTAGAAAAGTATAATCAAGACTTGGGCGTTACTGAGAGAATTTTACAGGTTTGAGCCTGTTTTTAACAAACTCATCTCTAGGAATCCAACAACAGACGATTTCTTGTTTCTATATTAGTTTTCAAATGCATCGTGATGTCATTTTCACCATAGCACAATCTTAACGGCATGGAAAATGATTACATTACTGATAGATCACAGCAAAACTAACAAATAAAATGGAAAAATTCCAAATATTTGTAAACGGACTATATATAGTTTTGGCCCCCAAATCCATCGAAATTAAAAATCTTTCAATAGAACTTTCAAATGACTGTTTCTTTAATTTTGAATACTTCCCCAGTACTATCATGCAAACATTTATTTGTGTTTTCAATTATGGCTGCCATGGTAACCAGTTAATATTTGCATAAATTAATGAAATTTGAATATTCAGTCAATTTTGCAGGTTTTCACCTTGTTTTTCTCTTAGCTACCATAGAGCTGAATTATTCAACTTTTTCTATTTTATGCAAATTTGATCTTGTTACCATGGCAACAACAATTAGAAATACAAATAAATATTTTCATGATAGTATTTGGGAAGTATTTAAAAATAAAGAAACAGTCGTTTGAAAGTTCATTTAAAGGTTTGGAATTTTGATGCATTTGGGGGCCAAAACACGCCCAAACCATACATAGTCCTTTAGCTAGGCAATTTGTACAGCCAGGTGTAATTCAGATCTTGAAATCGTAACAATTACACCTAAATCGTGAGAGTTAGCAGATCTGAAATGATGCATTCGTGACTTACCCATGGTTGTTCTATCTCCCCCATATGTGTGACTAGCTGTTGACATAAAAAAAACACAATCATTTAGACAGACAATACATCAGTGTTCCAGTTACACTGCAAATACACATTTATTTTGGTAAATTACAAATCCAAACGAAAAACATTACAAATACTTAAGCAGCTTTATACAGGCTTGTCAAGTCCCCCACTCATTACATCCTGTATCTCTGACCATATCAGCTTTATACAGGCTTGTCAGGTCCTCCACTCATTACATCCTGTATCTCTGACCATATCAGCTTTATACAGGCTTGTCAGGTCCTCCACTCATTACATCCTGTATCTCTGACCATGTACAGCTTTATACAGGCTTTTCAAGTCCACCCCTCATTAAATCCTGTATCTCTGACCATGTCAGCTTTATACAGGCTTGTCAGGGCCACCACTCATTAAATCCTGTATCTCTGACCATGTCAGCTTTATACAGGCTTGTCAGGTCCCCCACTCATTTCATCCTGTATCTCTTACCATGTCAGCTTTATACAGGCTTGTCAGGTCCCCCACTCATTACATCCTGTATTTCTGACCATGTCAGCTTTATACAGGCTTGTCAGGTCCACCACCCATTACATCCTGTATCTCTTACCATGTCAGCTTTATACAGGCTTGTCAGGTCCACCACTCATTACCTCCTGTATCTCTGACCATGTCCAGCTTTATACAGGCTTGTCAAGTCCACCACTCATTACATCCCGTATCTCTGACCATGTCAGCTTTATACAGGCTTGTCAGGTCCACCACTCATTACCTCCTGTATCTCTGACCATGTCCAGCTTTATACAGGCTTGTCAAGTCCACCACTCATTACATCCCGTATCTCTGACCATGTCAGCTTTATACAGGCTTGTCAAGTCCACCACTCATTACATCCCGTATCTCTGACCATGTCAGCTTTATACAGGCTTGTCAAGTCCACCACTCAGTGATGTTTGTATTGAGAGACAGGGCAGATATAGTTAGTAATGTATTTTTTTACCTTTTTCATTTCTGCTTTGTTGAGTGCCGTGCCAATCATAACAGACTTCCTACAAGATCGTGAGGCAAACATCTGCCTCACTCGAGATGGTCGACACATGACACCCTAAAATAGAGGAACAACAGATGTAACTGGTTGTTTAGGTACAAAGACTAAGTAACATTTCACCACCAGCTTCCCTCCATTGACAGCAAACATTTCGGGGTTCGGTACTGGTCATTACCAAATTTCTGGGATATTTGAGGGATTTTTTCTTCGAACAATCTCTTGTAAATCTTTTAAATTGAAATATTAGTAGTTTTTTTCGGGTAAAATGATATCAGAGAACAGCAAGAAAAAAAGCAAAGGAAAAAAACCCTGAAACATTTGTGAAAGAAAGTAACAGATTTTTAAAGGCATTTTCTTTAATGTATACTCACAGGAGAATCTGACAGCATGAAAATCATCTCTTCAACATCTGCAAAAGAAAAAGACCTTGATTTATAATTGCAAAAGGAGGGTAAACACTAACAAGAGGCCCAGAGGGCCTGTATTGCTCACCTGGAAATGTTAGCAAAATTGAAGATGAAATAGCCAGATGTTGCTGTATATGTATTTCATGGTTAGTCAGGGGTTATATTTATATGCAATTGGACAAACTCCTGTCATTCCTACAGGAAAAGGAGGATTTTGAAGGATTTGCTATGTTTCCACTATTGGGCCCAGCCCTTCTGCCCCGATGGAGGTCAGACCCACTGCTGATACAAAATAAGTTCCCCTTCACCCAAGGATGCTCCACACCAAATATGGACCAAATCCTTTCATTCCTACAGAAGAAGAAGGATTTTAAAGAATAATTTGCTATGTTTCCCCTATTGGGCCCCGCTCCTCAGCCCCCAGGGGGGCCAGACACTACGCTATACACAATTGGTTCCACTTCACCTCAGAATGCTTCAGACCAAATATTGACCAAACACTTTCATTCCTACAGAATAAGAAGGATTTTAAAGAATTTGCTATGTTTCCCCTATTGGGCCCCACCCCTCAGGCCTCTAGGGGGCCAGACCCACGATTTATACAAAATTGGTTCCCATAACCCAAGGATGCTTCAGACTAAATATGGAACAAATCCTTTCATTCCTACAGAAGAAGAAGAAGGATTTTAAAGAATCTGCTATATTTCCCATATTGGGCCCCGCCCTTCAGCCCCTAGGGGGGCCAGACCCACCATTTATACAAAATTTGTTCCCCTTCCCCCAAGGATGCTTCGGACCAAATTTGGTCAAAATTTGCTTAGTCGTTCATGACTAGTAGCGATTTCATGGAAAAGTTGACGGACGGATGGACGGACAGACGACAGACGATGCGCCATGCCATAAGCTCACCGGGCTCCTTTGGGCCAGGTGAGCTAATAAAGGAGAAAGATTTTCCATTTTCCGCTATTTCCCCTATTGGGCCTCACACGCACCTTTTTATACAAATTGAACGATTTGAGTTTTTTCCCCTAAGCATGCTTCAGACCACATTTGTTTTAAATCCCTTCATTTGTACGGAAGGGAAAATATTTTTCTCTATTTCCCTATTGGGCTCTGCTCCTCGGCCCCTCTTTGTCCAAAGATGCTCTAGAACAAATTTGGTCAAAATCCTTTCATTTATTGAGGAGGAGAAGATTTTTTTTAAAGATTTACCTATTTTCCCCCTATTCAGCCCCGCCCCTCTGCCCCCTGGGGGACCATACCCTCTGTTCAATGATGCTCCAGACCAAATTTGATTAAAATCCTCTGAGCCGTTAAGGACTAGTATTGTTTAAAAAGAAAAAGTTGACGGACGCCGGATGACGGACGACGGATGCTGCGCCATGGCATAAGCTCACCTGGCCCGAAGGGCTGACAAGAGTTAATTGTTTTGATTTGGAAAATCTACTTGTCAAGGTAATGAGAAAAGTGTCTCAAGAACAGGACACCAAAAGTAGACTTGTCAGATTCTACACACTAGTGTATTGTAGGGGAATGGAGCGTAGCATTTATTTGAATCAGAATTTATAGCTCAAAGAATGAACTTATCAAATTTGTCTATCTACAACCATACGATCACTTCACCTTCTTTCCCAAAGTTCCAGTTTTTGCTGACAGGTGTAGACACAAGCTTCACTCGCTGTGTTGGTGGGGCTGAAACAGACAATGGAGAATTAGAATAGAACTTAATATGACTTCCTATTGTGTAAAAGAGAAGAAGCAAGTTTCAAGGGGAAGGGGGATATGTGATGTTTGGGCGTGAAATGATCTATTTTAGTGATGGTAAAAATGATAATATATGAACAAGAAATAGTGATAATGACCGAGGTGTACCTACCGTCACAGAAGTCTATACCTGTTTTATTTTATGTTTTAACAAGAGGCCCAATGGGCCTGCATCGTCACCTGGTATTACTCTCACACTTGACCCCTGTGACCTTGAAAGTTGAACAAGGTCGTTACAATGAAACAAGAGGCCCAAGAGGGCCTGTATCGCTCACCTGAATATTTAAGCAGTCATAGCAAAATATTCTCATTAAATATTATATTGCACTAAAAATATTTCCCTCACAAACTTTGTTGGCTCCATCTGTTGAAACTACCAGCAAAATATTATTATAAGATTCTATGCTTTTTGATTCTTCTTCAGAAGTTGCTTGACATATTTTTCCCTGTGATCTTGTAAGTAGGTCAATGTCATTTTCCTTCTCAAATTGGTTAGCTCTATTCCAAAAAGCTACCAGCCAAATCTTATGAATCCATTCCTTTTAGTTCTCAAGAACAAATCCATTAAAATGTTGTTGACCTCTGTGACCTCTAAAGTAGGTTGAGGTCATTTTCATTTGCAAACTTTGGTGAGCTCTATCCCGGGAAGTCACCAGCCAAATATTATAATTTTATGCCTTTTAATTCTTCAGAAGAAGCTGTTTGAACTGTTTGACATATTTGAACGCTGTGACCTTGAAAGTAGGTCAAGGTCATTTTCATTCGCAAACTTTGTTTGGCTCTTTCCCAGGAAGCCACCTGCCAAATATTAAGATTTTATAACTACCAGTTCTTCAGAAGAAGTCGTTTAAAGTGTTTGACATATCTGCCTCATGTGACCTTAAAAGAAGGTCAAGGTCATTTTCATTCTCAAACTTTGTTCGGCTCTTTCCTAGGAAGCTACAAGCCAAATATAGAGATTATATACCTTTCAGTTCTTCAGAAGAAGTCGTTTGAAGTGTCTGACACATTTGACTCCTGTGACCTTGAAAGAAGGTCAAGGTCATTTTCATTCTCAAACTTTGTCGGGCTCTATCCAAGGAAGCCATCAATCAAAAATAAAGATTCTATACCTTTCAGTTCTTCAGAAGAAGTCATTTGAAGCTTTTGACATATATGACCCCTGTGACCTTGAAAGTAGGTCAAACTAGTTTTCATTCTCAAACTTTGTTGGGCTCTATCCCAGGAAGCCACCAGCCAAATATAAAGATTATATACCTTTCAGTTCTTCAGAAGAAGTCGTTTGAAGTGTTTGACACATTTGACCCCTGTGACCTTGAAAGAAGGTCAAGGTAATTTTCATTCTCAAACTTTGTTGGGCTCCATCCAAGGAAGCCATCAGCCAAATATGAAGATTCTATACCTTTTAATTCTTCAGAAGAAGTCGTTTGAAGTTTTTGACATATTTGACCCCTGTGACCTTGAAAACAGGTCAAGGTCATTTTCGTTCTCAAACTTTGTAGGGCTCTTACCAACGAAGCTTTCAGCCAAATATCATGACTCTAGGCCTGTCCGTTCTTCAGAAGAAGTTGTTTAAAAGAAAAGTTGACGGACAAGGACGGACGGACGGACGGACGGACGGACGGACGACGGACGCCGCGCCACGGCATAAGCTCACTTGGCACTTCGTGCCAGGTGAGCTAAAAACTTTACAGCCCCTTAATTTTAGGATGCAACTTGCCAAATATCAATACCCTTGACCTTTTCTTTATTGAGATTAGTTCATTTAAAGGTTTATACATATTTGACCAAATGTGACCTTGAAAGCGGGTCAAGATCATTCAAATGAACAAGCTTGATAGCCCTTCATCCAAGCATGCTACTGGACAAATATCAACATCCTGGGAGTCATGGTTATTCAGAAGAAGTCGTTTGAAGATTTTAAACAAATTTGACCCCTGTGGCCTTGAATATAAGTCAAGGTCATTCATCTAAACAAAGGTGGTAGCCCTTTATCCAATCATGTTACAGGCCAAATATCATTCTCCTGTGCCTTTTGATTATTCATAAGAAGTCATTTCAAGGTTTCAATATATTTGACCCCTATGACCTTGAATAAAGGTCTAGGTCATTCATTTGAACAAACATAGTAGCCCTTCAGCCAAGCATGTTTCTAGCCAAATATCATCACCCTAGGCCTTCTGGTTATTCAGAAGAAGGTTTTTTTTAAAGATTTTAAACATATTTGAACATCATCCTTGGTCTTTTGGTCATTCAGAAGAAGTTGTTTTAAGATTGTAAACATATTTGACCCATGGAACCTTGAAACTGGGCAAAGTTCATTTATTTGAACAAACTTGGTAATCCTCATCCAAGCATGCTTCAGGCCATATATCATCTTCCTTGGCGTTTTGGTTATTCAGAAGAAGTCATTTAAATTGTTTAACATATTTGATCCCTATGACCTTGAATATAGGTCAAGGTCATTCATTTGAACAAACTTGGTAGCCCTTTATCAAAGCATACTTCTGGCCAAATATCATTATTTGGGCCTCCTGGTTATTAAGAAGTCGTTTTAAGATTGTAAACATATTTGACCCATGGGACCTTGAAAATGGGCAAAGGTCATTCATTTGACGAACTTGGTAGCCCTTCATCCAAGCATGCCTCTGGCCATATATCATCTTCCTGGGCATTTTGGTTATTCAGAAGTCGTTTTTATGTTTTACACATATATGACCTCCTGTGACCTTGAATGTACATCAAGGTCATTCAATTGAACAAACTTGGTAGCCCTTCATCCAAGCATGTCCCTGGCAAAATATCATCACCAGGAGCCGTCTGGTTATTCAGAAGAAGATGTTGAAAGATTTTAACATATTTGACCCCTGTGACCTTGAAAATGGGCAAAGGTCATTCATTTGAACAAACTTGGCAGCCCTATATCCCAGCATACTATTGGCCAAATATCATCACCCTGGGCATTTTGGTTATTCAGAAGAAGTTGTTTAAAGTAAAAAGTTGACGCTGGACAGACGGATGGCCGGACGCCGGACGCCGCACCATGGCATAAGCTCATGTCCTTTGGACCAGGTGAGTTAACAACAGAATCAGTAACAGCAGGTTTTTAATTACATGGTTTGGAAACCAGGTTTTCTGCTGTCAATTTCATTGCAGGTTCACAATCGTAAAGCTCAGCTTAGCAGGAAAATCATACTTAACAACAAAATATGATTTTGGTGTAAAAACAAAAACAAAAAATTTAACACTTTAACACAAATGTTTGCTTATTGATTTCTTGACCCTTTCCCCTTCATTAGTTTCACCTTGATCAGCCAGGAAAATAAACATACCTTGTTCATCTATCAGAAAATCAAATCCATTCTGATGGAAAATTTCAAGGTTGTCCATCAGGATTGTTTCATTGCTTGCTGTCAGTTCTAGGTTCTTGGGTCTAAAATAAAAAAGACATTTAATTGTAAACATAGGTATTGCCTGTGATGTAGAGAAACAGGAGAGTAGATTACAGGACCTACTGTATAAGGTGTTGACTGTGATGTAGAGAAACAGGAGAGTAGATTACAGGACCTACTGTATAAGGTGTTGACTGTGATGTAGAGAAAAAGGAGAGGAGATTACAGGACCTACTATATAAGGTGTTGACTGTGATGTAGAGAAAAAGGAGAGTAGATTAAAGGACCTACTGTATAAGGTGTTGACTGTGATGTAGAGAAACAGGAGAGTAGATTACAGGACCTACTGTATAAGGTGTTGACTGTGATGTAGAGAAACAGGAGAGTAGATTACAGGACCTACTGTATAAGGTGTTGACTGTGATGTAGAGAAACAGGAGAGTAGATTACAGGACCTACTGTATAAGGTGTTGACTGTGATGTAGAGAAACAGGAGAGTAGATTACAGGACCTACTGTATAAGGTGTTGACTGTGATGTAGAGAAACAGGAGAGTAGATTACAGGACCTACTGTATAAGGTGTTGACTGTGATGTAGAGAAACAGGAGAGTAGATTACAGGACCTACTGTATAAGGTGTTGACTGTGATGTAGAGTAACAGGAGAGTAGATTACAGGACCTACTGTATAAGGTGTTGACTGTGATGTAGAGTAACAGGAGAGTAGATTACAGGACCTACTGTATAAGGTGTTGACTGTGATGTAGAGTAACAGGAGAGTAGATTACAGGACCTACTGTATAAGGTGTTGACTGTGATGTAGAGTAACAGGAGAGTAGATTACAGGACCTACTGTATAAGGTGTTGACTGTGATGTAGAGTAACAGGAGAGTAGATTACAGGACCTACTGTATAAGGTGTTGACTGTGATGTAGAGTAACAGGAGAGTAGATTACAGGACCTACTGTATAAGGTGTTGACTGTGATGTAGAGTAACAGGAGAGTAGATTACAGGACCTACTGTATAAGGTGTTGACTGTGATGTAGAGTAACAGGAGAGTAGATTACAGGACCTACTGTATAAGGTGTTGACTGTGATGTAGAGTAACAGGAGAGTAGATTACAGGACCTACTGTATAAGGTGTTGACTGTGATGTAGAGTAACAGGAGAGTAGATTACAGGACCTACTGTATAAGGTGTTGACTGTGATGTAGAGTAACAGGAGAGTAGATTACAGGACCTACTGTATAAGGTGTTGACTGTGATGTAGAGTAACAGGAGAGTAGATTACAGGACCTACTGTATAAGGTGTTGACTGTGATGTAGAGTAACAGGAGAGTAGATTACAGGACCTACTGTATAAGGTGTTGACTGTGATGTAGAGTAACAGGAGAGTAGATTACAGGACCTACTGTATAAGGTGTTGACTGTGATGTAGAGTAACAGGAGAGTAGATTACAGGACCTACTGTATAAGGTGTTGACTGTGATGTAGAGTAACAGGAGAGTAGATTACAGGACCTACTGTATAAGGTGTTGACTGTGATGTAGAGTAACAGGAGAGTAGATTACAGGACCTACTGTATAAGGTGTTGACTGTGATGTAGAGTAACAGGAGAGTAGATTACAGGACCTACTGTATAAGGTGTTGACTGTGATGTAGAGTAACAGGAGAGTAGATTACAGGACCTACTGTATAAGGTGTTGACTGTGATGTAGAGTAACAGGAGAGTAGATTACAGGACCTACTGTATAAGGTGTTGACTGTGATGTAGAGTAACAGGAGAGTAGATTACAGGACCTACTGTATAAGGTGTTGACTGTGATGTAGAGTAACAGGAGAGTAGATTACAGGACCTACTGTATAAGGTGTTGACTGTGATGTAGAGTAACAGGAGAGTAGATTACAGGACCTACTGTATAAGGTGTTGACTGTGATGTAGAGTAACAGGAGAGTAGATTACAGGACCTACTGTATAAGGTGTTGACTGTGATGTAGAGTAACAGGAGAGTAGATTACAGGACCTACTGTATAAGGTGTTGACTGTGATGTAGAGTAACAGGAGAGTAGATTACAGGACCTACTGTATAAGGTGTTGACTGTGATGTAGAGTAACAGGAGAGTAGATTACAGGACCTACTGTATAAGGTGTTGACTGTGATGTAGAGTAACAGGAGAGTAGATTACAGGACCTACTGTATAAGGTGTTGACTGTGATGTAGAGTAACAGGAGAGTAGATTACAGGACCTACTGTATAAGGTGTTGACTGTGATGTAGAGTAACAGGAGAGTAGATTACAGGACCTACTGTATAAGGCGTTGACTCTGAAGCACTGTGTGTTTCTGGAGCTGTTCAAAGTTGTATTTCTCATCCGTTGCATGTTGATCGATTATGAACAGATCTTCTCTATTTTTGACAACGATGAACCCAAGATTGAACTGTGAAAAAATCAGTGAAATCAATATTGTTCTATTCATTATATTCAACAACAAAAATATGAAAAAAGTCAGATGGTTGGAAATAGGCTTTCTTGATAAGAAATGAGAGTGAGTATGTTTTCAAATCATACATATACCCCCACACACAACTTTGATGGAAATGGAAACGAAAACACACAATGTTAAACTTGAGAAACCGAGTTAAACACAAGTTGATTTGAAGTCTTTAAAGTATACCTAGATACTACAGGTCACAGTAACCAGAAATCTTGATGTAGTATTCTCCTGGAAGATTTTAACTATATTACACCACATATTATATCTTGTATCATTAACTTCCTACAATTCTAGTGTCACTGGTTAATATGGCACTTGGTGCAGTGACAGTGACTTTGAAGTGCGCTGACTAAACACTAGATCTACCCTGGTAAAATCTCTGATATTCCAATTAGACTGCTAATCTCTATGTACATATAGATAACTGGCTGATTGGTACGGCCTACCTTACATTTTATCTACCTAAACTTATTATATTACATCTTCAATTTACATGCAGTATATATTTGAAATGTATGTCTTTCTATATGGAAAGGGCTTTTATAGGCAACACTTGTGCCCAATCCTTTTGTTAAGCCTTTCACCACTGTAGACCATAATGGACTCATCCAGATCAATGCATGGTAGAGTCTACTAAAGTTACATAGGGGTGAAACTTTAATTGCAACAATAAAATAATTTTGAGATGAAATGTAGTATTCTTTACAATGTATCCAGAACGAAGTGTGATGAATTTTCTAATAATAAGTTAGAGAAATGGAAAATACATGTCACAGTGATCTATGTCGGATATATCGCTCTAGTATTCTATTCCTTAAGATTGATCCAAATATGGAGTTTCAGGAATGCTGGATTTCTAGTGTTTCAGTAATGAAGGCAGTTAAGAGCAGAGTTTAATCAAATTCAGTGAAACTTAAAATATAGGTCACAAATACCTATGCTCTAGGACGTCCTCAATATGTATGCAAATATGAAATTTGTTAAATGTTGGAATCTAGAACAAAAGTAATGGAGATAAAAGTCTATTTGGTCTGTGTGTTTTACGTCCCATTAACAGCTATGACAGTTAAAAGTCTATTTGGTCTGTGTGTTTCATGTCCTATTAACAGCTACGACAGTTAAAAGTCTATATGGTCTGTGTGTTTTATGTCCTATTAACAACTACGACAGTTAAAAGTCTATTTGGTCTGTGTGTTTTACGTCCCATTAACAGCTATGACAGTTAAAAGTCTATTTGGTCTGTGTGTTTTATGTCCTATTAACAGCTATGACAGCTAAAAGTCTATTTGGTCTGTGTGTTTTATGTCCTATTAACAGCTACGACAGTTAAAAGTCTATTTGGTCTGTTTGTTTAACGTCCCATTAACAGCTATGACAGTTCAAAGTCTATATGGTCTGTGTGTTTTATGTCCTATTAACAGCTATGACAGTTAAAAGTCTAATTGGTCTGTGTGTTTTATGTCCTATTAACAGCTATGACAGTTAAAAGTCTATTTGGTCTGTGTGTTTTACATCCCATTAACAGCTATGACAGTTAAAAGTCTATTTGGTCTGTGTGTTTTATGTCCTATTAACAGCTACGACATTAAAAGTCTATTTGGTCTGTGTGTTTTACATCCTATTAACAGCTACGACATTAAAAGTCTAACCAAGATGTCAGAATGGATCTTACCAATATACTGTTGCCAGATGTGGGTCTATAAAAACACTTCACTTACCTGCCCCAGGATCTCCATCTTTTCAAACATTTCCTGTCTGTAAAAAATAAAATGGGGATGAATGTTATACACAAATATTCCTAACATAAGTAAAACTACATTGTATAGATAACTTAAAAGCAAACATAACTAAATCTTCAGGCTTCTTATAGATAAGCTACATCTCTCGTACAACAAGCCATTCGGATTGATATGTCTCGTCTATGCCCTGCTTTGACTATCAATGCACATATCAGGGAAACTAACTTAAATGCAAAAACTTAATGTTGATGGAGATGCTGACAAAGTCAATGGACCATGAAAGGTAGGCCGCATCCAGCATTTGATGCATGGGTTGAGATGTACTACCTAAGATGCATCTATGGTCTAAGTTTGGTTGGTGTGGCACTTTTCGGAAAAGCAACTACACTATTTTACCTGTCTAAGTCATTAAAGTGACTCTCTTTAAACTGTTGAATCCCATTTCTTTACAAACATAAAACCCATTGTAATTTTGAAGTAGGTGATCTCCATTAGACTATCACAGAACTGTTTAAATCCCATTTCTTTACAAACATAAAACCCATTGTAATTATGTAGTAGGTGATCTCCCTTAGACTATCACAGAACTGTTTAAATCCCATTTCTTTACAAACATAAAACCCATTGTAATTATGAAGTAGGTTATCTCCCTTAGACTATCACAGAACTGTTTAAATCCCATTTCTTTAACAAACATAAAACCCATTGTAATTATGAAGTAGGTTATCTCCCTTAGACTATCACAGAACTGTATAACTGCACTAATACTAATAGTCCTTAAAAGATCACTTTCATGATATTGAAGTACTAATCAGCATAATCAGGTTGCTTTTTTTATTCCCCTGTCCATCTAACATATGTATATATAGGATGTAGATAGAGTCGACTGGTCACAGTCACATTGCTATCTGGGAGAATTCAGTCCTGACGACGGGTAACATTTGTTCTCACTGTTTGCAGTACCCCCCATCCATGTCCCGTATTTTATCTAACCTACAATCTTATTTGAAGTATCGTCTCCCACTAGTTAGTTATATAAATCAAGTATTACATATGTACAGCTATTTTATCTAACCTACAATCTTATTTGAAGTATCGTCTCCCACTAGTTAGTTATATAAATCAAGAATTACATATGTACAACTATTTTCACACTTTATATGACTTCCCAGTCAACCTGGTACAGGTCGTGAGGAGGTCTACAAACCATACCCTTACCACCAGTCAACCTGGTACAGGTCGTGAGGTCTACAAACCATACCCTTACCACCAGTCAACCTGGAACAGGTCGTGAGGAGGTCTACAAACCATACCCTTACCACCAGTCAACCTGGTACAGGTCGTGAGGAGGTCTACAAACCATACCCTTACCACCAGTCAACCTGGTACAGGTCGTGAGGAGGTCTACAAACCATACCCTTACCACCAGTCAACCTGGTACAGGTCGT